GCCTAGATTTTGAGGTAGATTATTCACAATTAATTTACCTTTTTAAGGACTGCCACGACATTGTCACGACGTGGCGATGCGAGAAGGGTTCGGGTGTTTCATTTAAGCCACCACGACATAGCAGTATTGGCCACGACATGGTGGACGGCTGACATGAAAACCTTATATTTTGGGTTTGTTCCCTATTTAAAGGAATGGGGAGGCTACGGTTTGCTCATCCTCAGCCTCCATCAGCCCCCTCAAGCCTTAAAAAAAACTAATCACTTTCCTCCATCATGGAGCTACTTTTAGTGTTCCTTGATGCTAAAGAAATAAGAATGAGGAAGAAGAAAGCAAAGATTAAGTAAGCAAGTCTCCATTCTTCACCTTAGCACTGTCGTGGACCTTTGTAATTGTCCAATACTTGATTTTATCGTGTTAAGTTGTTAGATCTTAATTTTTTGTCCCATTAACTTCTTATTCTTATTTTTTTAGGATGGTGAGATCTCTTAATGTTTGCAACTATATGAATCTCTAGGGAATTTGGTATAATTTGGGGCTTGGGTCTAGAGTTTGTTTGGGTTTTCAATCCATGCCTCAGATGTAGGTCATAAACCCTCATGTTGACCTAATATGGGTTCAAGACAAGCATTGGACATGCATGTATATAACACACAATCTTTTATGTTAGTTTTCGTGCTTGAATCAGTTCTGGAAAGTATGAACTTAGAACTTTATGAAATAAGTGCTTATTTGTTATGTTCTTGCATTATTAAGCCTTTTGGGACTTAGAGATTTGAGTTTTGGACCTTTTGGGTGCTCCTAACGGATAATGTTAGAAGCGTTATCCTTCTAGATCACATTTCAGACTAGATCTGAGTTTTGGAGCTCTTGGAATCGAAGAAATTAGCTTAATGCATTAAGATGTTGGATCCCCCAACTACCACAGCGTGGTCCTAGATCACCATGACGTGGCAGCTAAGATTTTCCTGACTGTTTGTTCGTATGTAGGCCACGACATGGCCAAGGAAGACCGGATTATGATAGTCGGTTAGAGTCAACATTGACTATTAACTTTAACCATTGACCTTGAGGGTTGACTTTTGATTTGTGGATTTTGTTCAACTATCAATATCCTAATATGTAGACTAAGGTTTTGCCTTGTGTGATTGTCTAGGTGACACTTAGCACTTGTTTTGGGATTTGGAGGGTGTGTTGACTTCTGAGCTGCTTTGGGAGTTGAGTTTGCTCATTATGTTGTAGGACACTAGGGATTGTATATGCTTGTAGTCTTTGTGACTCATGTTGTATGTGTTATACGCCAGTGTGCCTGTTTTCTATATGTGTAGGGTGAAATAGATCCAGGGGTGAAATAGACCTAGTACAACATTATGCTCACATATGAGTTGAAATAGACTTCAATATGAAATAGACCCGAGATGAAAGAACCAATACATCCTTGGGCTAGCATATGAGTTAAAATAGACTCGGGAGTGAATATACCCAGCCTTGAGCTGACATATATGTATGGTATGCAGTATTTTGGGGAAGTTGCTATTCTTTGTGCCTACGGTTTTCAATTTATGTTCCAAGTACTCACGGTTCGAAAGAGAAGGACTCGGGATGATCACATTGTACGCACCATGATTTTCCTCTTTATTAACTATGATGTACTTTTGGGATGTTTATTGATATTCTCTGAACACTTTATGGTTTTGTCAAACATGTTTGTTGATGGGTTATTTTGAATATTAATTTTATAAGATCGATAGATTCAACAGATATCAAGAAAACGATAACAATTAATGACAAGCAATAAAGCATACATATGTCGAATGATCAATAAGCTCCACCTCAGAAGAATTTAATGAGAATTGCTACTATAGAGGTGTGCTAGGGTTACAATACTTGATACAGAAAAATAATCAAAAGCGTTAACTCTATAATGCATGCATGCACATATATATATATATATATATATATATATATATATATATATATATATATATATATATATATATATATATATATATATATATATAAGTAAACCCTAAAGCTAAACGTGGTTGGACAGGCCCATACCACGAGTACAAAATTGACCGAACTTCATAGGCCCAATGGCGCAGCCCCTTAAACTTAACAATCTCCCCCTTTGCGCCAATTGAGACGAGAGATCACTTTGGTTGAGTGGGAGCAGATGACTTCACGGTCTTGAACAACATCGGTATTATTGCAACCAGAGTTTGTCGAAAGTGAATATACCACCGAAGCATGTCCGTGAACAACTTCTTATCTGCATCACCGTTCTAGTCACATCGATATATGATTTCAATAATGTGCTCTAAGCATGTGGTGGAGAATAAGTGTTTATCAGCCAGAGCAAACAAACATCTTTGACCTTCGCCCCTTGCAGACAAAACGGTGTAAAATTGTGGATCAATTTTACCTTTAATCATCACCGTCATGTCACTTGCCTTCCCGATTGGCTTTATAATGGGCTTCTTTCTTATTGCAGAGGCGACCTCCTTATCCGTTTTCGCCACTTCAAGAATATAACAGACCAGCATCTACTTGATATGATCAATAATAGGCCCATATTTTCTTGTGGATTGGTCAGCAAAATGTTGTTCAAAAGAATCCAATCATGGGGATTTAAGTTCGACAGATCAGCAAGGGAGATCTCATGAACCTAGCCGCTTGAGCCTCGTGTCACCTTGAACTTGACATTTATAAATTTCCCTGCCGAAGTGGGTTTCAATACCTTCACAGTTGTGATCTTCTGATTGCTCCAAGTGAGGTATTGCGGTTGAGAGAAAGAAAGATAAAATTCGAGCAAGTCTCGATCAACCTTTGAATCAGGAGAGGGGATAGGAACAGTTGAATCAAAACAATGAAATACAAATGTTGTTCGGGTGATGGGCATATCAAACTGAGCATTCTTGGAATTTTCAAGACCGAAGGACAGAGCCGACTCAAGCAGATATCAAGAAAATGGGTGATGGGCATATCTGATGCTCCAGCGTATTAACAACAGCTGGGTATGCCTAATCATAAATAATTATATGGTAAAGACGTATAATCATATATGATAATACTTGTTTATACGTATACGCATAATCATAAACGACTATAAATATATGTCTTTTTACAGATTGATTAATATTATTATAACGGATGGTCGCGGAAGAGCTGGTGGTGGTAGAGGTGACGGTGGTATAAGTGACGAAGGTGGCAGTGGTAGGGTCAGCTGGTGGTAGTGGTATTGGCGGTGGCGATTGTGTTGGTGGGAAAGGTGGCGGAGGTGAAAGGAACCTGCAGCGCTACATAATCATTTATGAATACAATTTACCCGCCGTGCCTATATGCCAAAGTGTTAGAGTGGCAAATGTGAATTATGTGGACGAGGTTGTATCTCAAGATCTCTTTTTATTTTAAAAAAAAATCATTTTTATTAAGGTAAAACTCCATATCATGAAACCCGTATTAGGAAAACCATTTGTTCCAGATTATAATTGCAATGAAATCAAGATTGAATAACAAGATCAGAGTATAGAATGATTGATGAACACAAGAAGTAAATATAATTTGTTTGGCTCTGAATAGCTTTCAAGGAGTACAAAGAGAATAGACAATTTTACACGGATGAGCAAAGCGAAAGTTCTTATCTACTCTAGTACACTTCCTTATTTATAAGAAAGATGAACACGGACAAAAAATACAAAGGACTATTCTATTAAGCTTCGTAACAAATGTGCCCTTGTAATAAAGTTAAAAACTATTGAAACATTAAATGACATTCGACACCTCACAACTAAATTTGACATCTACATTCTCCCCCTTTGTGAGCAGTGACAAATTAGTTCATTAAAACTTTCGTAGCTTGATGAATTATTCTTTGGATCTCTACATACCAGTTGACAATTTTGCAAATTTCTACCTTCTCTTTGTCATTGTTTTTGTCACAACTATTCATCCACACTAAGAGATTAGTGTAGTGAGATGAAGTTTATCTTTCTACATCACATACTTGAAACAGGAATTTATAATTGTTTCCCTTTTTGTTTTTCCCCCACAAAAGCGATTCCCTATGGTTTCAAGGTAATATCTCCGTCTTCAAGCTTCTTTATGTTTGCCTTTGTCATCAGCATGGTTTGAGGAATTTCGACTTCTTTTCCCAAAACTTTAGCCAACTCAACATCAGTTAAGGCTAATGACCCAAAATATCCTTCAATGAAAACCTTTAAGTGAAAAACCCCATTCAAGAAATCTTCCTTGTTTGAAGCTTCGAAATATCTACAGTCTTCATGATCAATGCCACCACCAAATGATCATGTAGATTCATCAAAGGGCAATCAGCAACATAGAAGTCGAAAGTAACATTATTTGCTCGAACAACATGAAACCTATAGTTCTGTAACATGCCTTCGAAAACAATTTCCTTTTAATACCAAGAACTATGGTTGTCTTGATCAACGAAAATACCTCCTACTCATTCTTTCCCAGCACAGCATGAATTCGAAATTTCATGTGCATGTACTCAGACTTATTCTTATACTTGTCAGCAACTTCAAATTTTTTTTCCAGAAACATCATTCTATTCAAAGGGAAGTCCAATTGATTCATTGGTGTCTTGATAGTGTCGAAGCTTCTCCTTTGTACCTTTTCAAAGTCATGCATCTCCCTAGATACTGCCAAAGCTAAAATATATTCATAATGATATAGCTTTGTTGGATCACCTTTGTCAAGACCATGAGGATCATTTCCATGTTGTTGAAGTATACTCTGGATTTATCTTTTTTTCTCCATTTCAGCTTCCATAGCAGCTTTTCTTTATTCTTTCGATAATTCATGAATAATGCCTTTTCCTTTATCTTTCTCTTGTTCACTTGGATTAGGCTTTGATGAACTCAACTCTCCTCCAGCAGTTCCAATAACAATGCCCTTTGTGATAGGCCTTGTTGTTGTTATTGTTGATGAAGTAACAATCGAAGTTCTTGTTAGAGAAGTAGGAATCTGAGTAGTCAAGACTCTGCTAACCATTCTCGCATCACCAACAAAATTTCCATAACCCCTTCGCCTTTATTTCCACTCCCACTGCTAACATTTTGCCTTTCTCCCCCTTGCACCCCTGTGCACACAGGCGGGGAATTTATTGGCATAAAATTTTCAAATTTCGCAAGTGGGGCCAATTCTTTTTGAATTATTGACTCTAACATACATAACTTTTCAGTGAACGAGTCAGGAGAAACAACCGAAGACTTTGAAAGATCATACTTAGAAAAAATATACTTTAACTCTCGTAGTAATTTTTCAACATTCCCAAAACTCTTAGCATCAACCTCTACTTTCAAATCCAGTTTCACCCCCAAAGAAGAATACAACTCAACTGCTTTGGCCACAACTCCAACAATTATATCTAGTTTATTGTGAAGAGAATAATTGTGATCTAAAGCAGATATCTCCTTCGTCATGTCTTCTCTCAATTCTTGAACTTTAAGATTTCACTTTCTCTTATGGTTGATTTCTTATGGATAGACTATATTGATTACCAATTATCTAGCTATTATGATCAAATATCTAAGCCTACCAATTAATCAATGACAAAGCAATTATCATGCATAAGTTAAACACCAAATTGATAATAGAACAATTAGAATACGAATTATATGAGTTAATTTCCTATGATCAATTCAAGAAACCAAGCAAAATTAATACTAATTATTCTCTCAAACACAGTTAAAGTTACTAGTTTTCATTACTTAAACTAAGATGTGATTAATCCTAGCTCTAATTATGTAACATCCTGACTCCCAAGTATAATATTTAATTAATTTGCATTCATGATGTCAGAGAAACTCGACGAGTTGGATGCCCCAACTCGCCGAGTTGAGGAGTTAATGGCAGCATGATTTTTAGAGTCACTCGACGAGTTGGAGGACCCCAACTCGACGAGTAGGAGCTGAGTGCGAAAACCCTGATTTTTAGGGTTTGTGTCCTATTTAAAGGACCTTAAGCCTTCATTTCCGCCTCCCTTATCATCTTAACACTCTGAGAGAAACCCTAATCAAGTTGTATCCTTGTGTAAGAGACAGATAGGCTAATATTGCATATGTTAGTGCATTTGTGGAGGAAGATTGAGGAGCAAAAGGCTTGGGACGAGAGGGAGCTCTTGGATCCAGTGTTCATTCATTCCTAGATTCTATTTGAAGGTAAAAAGCTACCACCTTGCTCATTGTTTGATTAGATCTCTTTTCTAGGGAGTTTAGGGCCTTTTTCCATTCTTATTTGAGTTCTAGAGTTGTTTGAGCTTTCCATGGAGTTGAGACTCAAATCTGGACAATATAAGGTCCTTTGAGCCCAAAGATCCAATCTTTATCAAGCTAGTGACAAGCTTTTATGCATTAAACCCCATATAGAGCTTATTTTGGCATTTCGATCCCTAGATGCCATGCATGGACGTAAAGCTCGCAACTTTACATGGTATTTCAGCCTTGGGAGGCTAGATCTAGAGTTTGGGACCTTATTTCTTCTTAGAATCGTCTTATTAAGAATTGGTTAAGAGGGACTCGACGAGTGCATGAGCCAACTCAATGAGTCAGCTAGGGTTTTCCCCGATAGTCTAGACGCGCTACAACTCGGCGAGTTGATGAGACAACTCGACGAGTTGAGTCGGATTTTCCTGATATTATAGAGGAAACAAAGGAACTCGACGAGTCGCATAGATGCACTCGACGAGTCGGATCAACATGGACTGTTGACTCGGGTGTTGACTTCTGTTGACTATTAGAGTTTGGTCAATAAATTAGTAGGAAGACCAAGGAGGGGTAAAATGGTCTTTAACCCTTTCCATGAGTTAGATAAGGGGTTAGAATAATTTCTAGTGTTGTGGTTATTAAGTGTTAATTAGAGATGATTATGATATGTAGGCGGAGTCTAGACTGTTCGTGGAGTACGAGACCTACTTGCTTACTTACGAGGTGCGTCTTCTCACTATACTTACATGAGTGGTAGTATTGTGCGATCCGAGGGTCTTATATGCTTATATTGATTTATGTGATATCATGCATTTGTCTTTGTGATTTATGTTGTATATTATCTTGTGCTTTATTGGTTAGGGACGGAGGGCCCAACCCGAGTTGTGAGACCGAAGGGTCATTATTGAGATATAGCCATGAGAGGCTAATTATTGTGTATGGTATTTTGGGGAACTCACTAAGCCTCGTGCTTACCGTGTTGTGTGATTTGTGTTTCTGGTGCTTCTCAAGATCGTGGGAAGGCTCTGACTTGATTGTACACTCCTGTTCGAGATTATGTTGGTGGATTCTGGGATACTATGAGTTATTCTGTTGATTTGTGTTTTGACAATTGATACATTTGTGGTTTTTGAGAAATGTGACCTTGAGTTTTATGTGTTTTAAAAACGAAAATTTTGGTTGAAAATTTAAAGTGTTACAAGTTGATATTAGAGCCTTGGTTTGAGGGATTCGGATGTACTCTCGGGTATGTCTAGACTCAAATTGAGGATTTGAGAATTTTTTTTCTAAAAAGAAATGATTATTCTTAGACAATTAAGAGTTTAATGAGAAAACGAGATAGAGCGGTGTGTACAATCAGCCAGAGCCTGAACGCTGATTTCCAAAAATACCATTACTTGTTTATATATGAGATACTTATGAGATATTAGAGTTGCATGCTATAGGATAGGCTAGGTATTTCAGAAATTAGGGCTAGAGTTTCCTGATTTATGATGCCTTAGTCTAGGGTGTGTTATTGATTGATCTTATAAGCTATTTGCTCTGTATGTGTGCTGATTAGGGAGAAACATAAGAGGAATCTTTTAGAGAGAGTTTTGAGTAATCCAGGAGAGATACCTAGATGAGTATTGAGGAATATACCGAGAGATTAATTGATATCCGTGAGGGATATAATACTGTTAATTAGGATCCTAGGAGGAGGACTTGGGATGACTACAGGTTGGTGTGGAAGGTAGTATTGGGCCCGTACTACTGAAAGCACCAGATCTGTATGCGACCCAAGTAAGAATCTTAGGATGCTAAGGAGCATATAGGGTGGGTAACCTTGTGTGTGTATTGAGCTAGTCTCTGGTGATTTTGTGTTTGCATTTCAGAGACACTATGGTGATTACCCGCAACAACCCCGAGGGCAGTGGTACTAGTGACGAGGAGATCCGTAGGATCATTCATGAGGAGGTGGTCGCAACTATCAGAGAGGGCATACTAGAGATGTTCAGGTCTATTAGGACGACATTGATTGAGACATTAGATGAGCGATATGCTGCTTTTACGGAGTCTGCTACTACTAAAGCCACCACTGCCATAACTGTAGCCAGACCACAGGAAGGTGACTCGTTGTTGTTCCGTGAGTTTAGCAACACGAAGCCACCAGAGTTTGATGGGACACATGACCCGATCACTTCCATGAGATGGATCTCTGAAATTGAGGTGTGTTTCTATACGTGTTCATGTCCAGAGCATCTGAGAGTTCGGTTCGTGCTGAACAAGCTTCGCTTGGGTAAAGGACTGGTGGAAGTTTGTGACGACTAATTTTACCCATGTAGATCATGCTGCAGTGACTTGGGAAAGGTTCAACAAGTTATTTAGAGATAAGTACGCTTCCCACATGGAGAGGGAATGTTTCGTATATGAGTTTCTATCTCTCAAGTAGAAGACAGAGTCAATGACAGAGATTACGAGGATGTTTCATGAGAGGGCACTGTTCTTCCCTGAGCACGTGTCCACTGAGCAAGTACGTGTAAGTCGGTATTTGAGCACCTTGAGGAAAGATATTCGGGAGTTCGTGGCAAACTCTTCTTATCGGACATTGGCTAAGTTGCAGAACAATGCCAGGAGGAGGGAGATTGAGTTAGAGTTTCATACTAGAGAGGAGGAGGAGTCTCAAGGTAGAGATAGGAGACCAGTACAATCGCAGTCGGTGACCAAGCAGGCTAAGCCCACCGATATGAGAGCTGGAGGCTAGAAGGGCCGCAGTTGTGGAAAGTGCAGCAAGAGTCCTGAGGTATCTTGCCAATCAGGGATTTACTACAATTGTGGCAAGGAGGGGCATACAGCGAAGGACTTCCCCAAGGGATTTGCAGTTTGCTTTCATTGCAACCAGATCGGCCATCGAAAGGCCGATTGTCCTCAGCTCACTCAGGGATCAGCCCAGACTTCTACTCCTATTACTTTTTGGGTTACTAATGGTCATCCAGTGAAGGCCAAGGCCCCGAGGGCCTGTGGGAGAGCTTTCCAGTTGAATGCGGAGGAGGTACGTGCAACATCTAACATTGTTGCTGGTACGTATCTCCTTACTTATTTATTTTGAGATTTGTTATGCTTATACTGTGTTGTATATAAGTAATTTTCTTGTGAATTTTGTGCCTGCTTTGGTGTTATTTGACTCGGGTGCGAGTTGATATTTTGTTTCCTTATCGTTTAGTCATCACATTAGTGTCAGACACGAGGTGTTGAGTCAACCACTGAGGGTCTCTATAGCCGACGAGCATGTGTTTTTTTCCACTGATGTATTCTGGGGATGTGTATTAGAGATTTTTTATGTTGAGTTCCCAACAGATCTGGTGCTGATAGCGATGGGTGATGTCTGTGTTATAGTGGACATGGACTGGTTGAGTTGGTTTGGAACAGTGATCGACTATGAGCATCAAATGGTGACCATACGAGACCCTAATGGGGGAGTACTTGTTGTGTATGGCGAAGGGACCAGGTCTGGATCAGATTTCTGCTTTGCCGCCAAAGCGAGGAAGAGTTTACAACAGTAAAATATGGGATTTTTAGCATATATGATGGATACGAGAATTGCCACTGAAAAGGCCGAGTTCTATCTCCAATGTTCAGGTAGTATGTGAGTTCCACGATGTATTCCCTAAGGTATTGCTGGGTGTGCCTCCCGAGAGGAAGGTGGAGTTACGAATCAATTTGATACCGGGTGTGGCATCTATTGTCACGGAACCTTATTGCCTTGCACTGCTCGAGTTGCAGGAGTTATCCTTGCAACTCCAGGAGCTGCTGGGGAAGGGTTGGATTAGACCGAGTATGTGACATCTCCAAAATCACGGCCAGAAAAGACCGGTTTTGTTTATGCTTTATCAAACTCAGAGTACTTCTTTTCATAAAAATGTTGGGGAATTTGTTCCCAGAAAAATACGATAAATACGTTATCAAAACATTTTCGAAGAAACATATTTTATTTATGTTAAAATGTTTGGGATGTCATCGTCAATACAAAAACATAAGCATAAACAGAACTTACATTTATTTACACTAGTGGTCTACACCTCTTTTAATCTCTCAGTGTGACTTCATATCAATACCTGTGATGTAAATAAACTGAGTGGGTCAGGTTGGGAAACCTGGTGAGTACATAGGGTTTTCAACCCACAATAATATAATTATTATGTTTAAACGATCAAACGATCAACCCAATTACCCATCCC